CAGGTAAAAACCTGTGATTTATTTTCTTAGAGTGTAGCATACTGATTACTAATACACAGCTTAAAACTATAATTGTTCAGAATGTGTAGTTTTACTAGTTTACTAGCTAATAAAAAAACTTGTAATCGTTCAAAAATTAAATCGTTCAAAAGTGTTCAGTGTTGTATATAAAAATAGTTATTTATATTTTAACATTATATTATGCATTTATAGTATTTTACGAACAAATTTAAATTAACATAAACAAATATCTTTTTGCTGAGATTTGATGTAGTGACACAATTTTGCGTCGTGATTACGTAATGACGTCACAACATCATTTAGCAACTTTTAGCAACAAATTGACCTTCCTTTAGCAACTTCCCCTGAAAATTAGTTGGCAACACTGGAAGTAAACGAGGTGAGTATTTTTCAGTGATTTTAGGTGCATAAATCGATAGAAGACATTTTAACGTGGTTTATTTTTGTTTTATTTATTTTACAAATGTGCTCCATCAACATAGCAATTTTACGACGCCGTCTTGTGTTAGTACACTCTAAAAAATGCTGGGTTAAATACAACCCAGTGCTGGGTAAAATAGGGACAAACCCAGCAATTGGGTTGTTTTGACCCAGCGGTTGGGTTAAATGTTTAAATGTTTAACCCAACCTTCTGGGTAGTAACCCAACCGCTGGGTCAAAACAACCCAATTGCTGGGTTTGTCCCTATTTTACCCAGCACTGGGTTGTATTTAATGTAAAACCCAGCACTGGGTTGTATTTAACCCAGCATTTTTAGAGTGTAATGTTAAATGAACATGGAAGTAATATTGTTGTATGTGCAGTTCTAATATTTGTTTCTTTTTTTAAGTAGCTCAAACATTGATATAACAGTAAAGGACATTGACACATTAGAAGCAGAGATATTTACTTTGCATTGCATTTTCTAAAACTGTTTAGGTCTTGAATTTATTCCGTGTGTTTTTTAAAGTTCATTCAACTCATTTTCTATAAAATGTCAGTTTTCAACAGCAGGCTGTCAAGCTTGAAAAAAAAAGACTATGTGCTATAAAAGTAGTCCATATGAGTCATCTTATTAAATTAAGAAACAGTCAAAAAATTTTAATCGGTTTTCTATTACAATCTCAGATTGGTGCACCATGTTCATTTACACACACAAGAGAACCTATGGCATAGGTTTTGCATAAGTATGGACTTTTAACCTATTAAGCCCTGTTCCCAACTGGTTTAAAATGCATTTTCAGTGATCCAATCACAAGTGGACTCCTAGTGAGTATGTGTCTTTCCCAGACCAGTCCTTCTGAGGACTCAACATTAAAGGGATAGTTCACCCAAAAATGAAAATTTGATGTTTATCTGCTTACCCCCAGGGCATCCAAGATGTAGGTGACTTTGTTTCTTCAATAGAACACAAACAGAGATTTTTAACTCCAGTCGTTGCAGTCTATCAGTTGTATAATGCATGGCAATAGTAACAAAATCTATGAGAGTAAGGTGTGTACGCGCTCTGGCGTAGTTTACGCAAGTGCCGGAAGTGATCTCTCGCGCGTATACGTCACTCATTGTTTACACAGTGCACAGTCATTGTAAATAAATACTGTTCAGTTTCTCGCACAAAATGATCGTTTCGTGTCTTAGGACATCAATGTGTCATCACGAGCCGCAGGGTTTAATTTGGATTTATCTGTGCATGTTTTTTTTACTCTCATAGATTTTGTTACCATTGCCATGCATTATACGACTGATAGACTGCAACGGCTGGAGTTAAAAATCATAATTTGTGTTCTACTGAAGAAACAAAGTCACCTACATCTTGGATGCCCTGGGGGTAATCAGATAAACATAACATTTTCATTTTTGGGTGAACTATCCCTTTAAGTATATACAGTGGGGCAAAAAAGTATTTAGTCAGCCACCAATTGTGCAAGTTCTCCCACTTAAAAAGATGAGAGAGGCCTGTAATTTTCATCATAGGTATACCTCAACTATG